TAATGTTTTGCTGGTTTTAGCATCAGTTTGCCAGTTTTAGGTAATGTTTTGCTGGTTTCAGCTAGTGTTCTGCGGCGTTCAGCTCCAACTGCTCAGTTTTAGCCTCCTCAGCAGTCCTTCAGCTCTGACAGCAGATAAAACAGATAGCAGTTTAGCTAGCGCTGACCGACCTCTGCTTCTTCAGGAAAGACTCCCATAGCGTTTGATCGAGGGGCAGGTAGTTCAGGAGGATCTGAGGAGGGAAACAGGAAGTGATCACATGTTTGACGCTCATTAAACGGGTTCTTCAGCTGCAGAGAGGCAGAACTCACCTTCCAGCACAGAGAGCGGATGCCTCCTTCAAAGGGGATTCCTGAGGGAAGAAATGAAGTCCGTCAGATAAAAGCTGACAGCAGAGGGACAAACATCTACAGATGTTTTACCGTTGAAGCACAGCTCCCTCAGAGTCGACAGGTTGATGGTTTCTTCACTTAAAGCTGCTTTGAACTCTTGTATCCTGAAACAAGCAGGTCAAAGGTCAACAAGGATCCAGAACACAAACACAACCTAAAGTGTTTACGAGTTGTAAACTGAAGGATTATTTTACTGACAGGAAGAGGAAGTCCAGATTTTACTTTACATTTTCTACCTGGTCTTTTTCAGGTCTGACTTCACCATGTTGTTGTTTAATAAACAAAAAGCTCAACAGTCATTTAGAGTCTGTCAGTCTACAGCAGAAGTCTCCAAACTTTTTTTCTTAAGAGCTACTTTCACAAAATAAAACTGACAGAGCTACTTTTTGCAACATTTAATTTTAAACTCAAACCATTGAAATAAGCTTGTTTTGCTTGAACAAACACAAAAACATTGTCTTCAGTTCACATGAAACTATCATAAAGAACACTGAATTTACATGAATGTGCTTTTTGTCTTTATCCATTCATGTTWTATTGTATTTCACACTAATAACTTAGGGTTTAACTGCAAATGATTTGTGCACAAATAACGATGGGTCTCCTGTATTTATTTTCTTGTGGACTCCAGCAGGAGGAAACCCCCTGTAGTGACATGTACCACAGTGGGAGGGGTCTCCCAGGCGTTTGGCACAGTGTGTCACAGGGCTATGAAAGGTGTGTGAAAACAGACACCGAAAAACCAGGTAACTGTGCATCATCATCGACCATAACGAGCCCTAAACTGTTTGATTGACAACCAAGGGGGCAGGACATCAGATTGATTGAATAAATTAAAGTTAGTGACAAATAAAATTTTGCTTCTCCTAATTTYTCACAAGCACTGACGAGCTACTTTAACTGAGCTCAGGAGCTACTGATTGGTCTACAGACTCTTCACCCTGAAGGTCAGACCGTACAATGAGCTCCATCTCTACAGGTCTCAGTCAACAGGTTAAAGGTCAAAGGTCATAGCTTCTTCTGTCTAAAAACGCTTCTTCTGTCTAAAAACAACACGGCAGCTCCACTTTCATCTGAATGAACCACAGGATCGGAACCAGACCAAAGGCCAGATGTTTACCCAGAATGCACTGCAGCACACAGCTCCTCCCAGCTGTCAGCACGGTGGTGGAGGGCCGATGGTTTGGGAGCATTCTAGTGTCACAGAGGAGATCAGAACCAAACCCAGGGTCAGAAAACACCAAGTTTAGAATCCTGAGATGATCTGAAGAAATTTAATGAGTTTTTAATTCATTGATAATAGTTTTTTTTCAATTAGTTCAAAAACAAAAAGCAAAAGTTTAAAATCTGCAAACTGAAAAACACTGCAGAACCACTGAGAAGAAGAGTGGTTCAAAGCTCCTCCACAGTCATGTGACACACAGAGGTTTAAAGTCTGAAAGAGCTTCAACTGATGAAACTGAGGAGAAGAAAAACATCAGGAAACAAGAAAAGTTTCAACTGTTGGGATTTATCAGGACCTGAATGAAGAGAAACTGTCAGAAACATGTCAGCACATTCCAGCTGGAGGATGGATGTCAGCTGATGTGCTAACAGGAAGCTAATGCTAACACTCTCCTTTGACTGACTTACAGTTTTAGCGTTTAAAGCTCCTCACGAGCTCTGCATGTCAGATATAAAATGTAACACAGTGCAGCCTGATGCAGACGTGACTTTTGGGATTGATTTGTTTGGAAAAATCCCTGATTTTGACCCAGAAGTTAGCCTTTGTTTGGTTAGCGGAGCTAATGCTAACGCTAGCTTGTTGTGATGAATGCAGCTTTAGCAGCAGCTAACACCTGTTAGCTCCGAGTCAAGGTGTCAGGAGAAGAAAACTCACCTGTTCCTGTACGCAGTAGACATGTCTGGACAGGTGAGGCTGGAATTCCTTTGACTCTTTCCGAAAGGGAATGAATTATTAGCCACGGGGAAGTAAAGTCATGTGACTTCCGGTTTGCACAGGAAGTCGGAGCAGCTGGTTAGCGCTGTTAGCTAACCAAAGCTAAAAACAAATAAGTGCATAAACTGTTATCATATAACTCGATGAGTTAAAACTGTTAGTAAAAATCACAAATTTTAAAAAGTGTTTCTTTGTTTTAGTTCTTTGAAACACAAAGAAACTGTTTTATAATAAAGATGAATATAAGGCAATAAAATATTTATTTCAGTAAAATAAACCAGTTTAATTTATGGTATATATTGTTTATTATTCTGCACCTGGTCTGAAAACAACCAGGTAAATTTAATTTATTTGAATTAATGTATTTTTTTTTTAAATTAAATTAGGTTTTGCCTCCTGTTGGTGGACTGAAGGAACGACAAAAATCAAATCAAATCTTTTTTGATTTTTAATCAAATGTTTCTTTTTTACAACAAAAATGTTTCATCTCACAGCTAAACATTCTGATTCTGTAAAAACATCTGAAAGTGTCGTCACCAGTTAACTAAAAGAGAAACTTGAAGCTAACAGAACCTGTTGTCTTTGAGTTTTCACTAATAAAAACCAGGTCTTCAGGATTTGTTTTAAAATTTTGCATTAAAGCTCAAAGTTTTGGGAGCGACCTCAGAGGAGGAAACAGCTGTAAATTCAGGACTGAATCTAAGGGATTTTTACCAAAACAAACAGATATTTTTAATGTTAAAAGTGCAAAAATCACCACAAAACATCAAAATCTTTAATTCTGCTTCTATTAATGGTGATAAATGGAAACATAAACACAAGAGAATGAATCGTTTGCTCTGTTTGTGAT